AATTATATGGGAAACAAATCTTAGTTAACCTTGTTAATAAGACGGGTTATGAATATCCGGTTGGAGAAGCTTACGAGAAGGCTGTCAAACAATTGGATGATTCCAGACTGCTTTATTATCATTTTGATTTTCATCATGAGTGTCGAAAAATGCAATGGGATAGGATTCAAATTTTAATTGACTCAATTGAAGAAGAATTGCTACAACAAGGGTTTATACAACTTTTTTATGATTTATTTTTTAACACAATAAATTGTCACTCACTGTATTTGTATTATTGTTAGATTTTTTCATAGTGAAGAATTAGAAAATAATAATGTTACTTACAAGTATCAGACATCTGTGGTTCGCACCAATTGCATGGACTGCCTTGATCGTACAAATGTTGTACAATCTGCTTTGGCTAAATGGACACTAACCCAACAATTGCGAAGTGTTGGTGTGCTGAGCAACAAAGAAAGAATTGAAGAAATTGTCGATTTCATGGAAAAATTTAGAAATGGTATGTGTAAAAGCATTAAGCAATTTTCATATGAAAATTTAAATCCTAATGCGTTATTTAACGACATAACTCGGTGGCCTTTCGTCTTGTTAACTTTTCCCTTAAAATAAACTTGAAAACTATTAATTTTTAATCCAGTTTGGGCAGATAATGCAGATGCTATCAGTATTCCATACTCCGGAACAGGTGCCATGAAAACCGATTATACTAGGTACGTTATTTTTATCACATTTCAGTCTATTTGCTTTTACATATTTTACAACCAATTTTGTAATTTTTTGTAATTTAAAGAACTGGTAAGAGAACTAAGCAAGGGGCTGCTATGGATTTACAAACTGCTGTTACTCGTTATATGATGAATAACTTTATGGATGGGTCACGACAGGTTAGTTTCTTATAGTCGCAAGCAATTATTGACATTTTTTATGGATAATATGATTATTTATCTATTTCTCTTAGGATGCATATGATCTATTATTGGGCAATTATGAAGTTGAGTTCGGTGTGTCACCATTCATTGACAATCGGTCGTTCCAAACTAAAATAGTAAGTCAATTTAACTATCGCATTATGTAACAATTTCCTACTGTCATTTGTTAGTGTCTAAATTATTTGCGCGATATAGATTCCTCAAATATTAGCGGCGTGCATTGTTTTCTTCTTATTTTTATACACGATTTCAAAATCTGGTAGGTCTTGTTTCTTAATTCCGATAACGTCGCTGCCAATCGAAAAATTTACATTTTATTTGTCAATTCAATCTATTAACTTCTTTAATTTACAGATTTTGCTTACTTAATACGTTTCATAATGGTCATCGATTTTATTGCTATTACGTTCCTCATTCGTTATATTGTGGTCCACGGAACTGATTTTGTAGATTGGCCTAGTCTTGTTCCGCCAAGTTATCGACTTTATCAATGGAATAATACAGCACCGTACCAGAAGATAAGAAAAACAAGACGACATAGTGATTCAGAACATGGCGAGAAGATTGATTAACTTCGAAGCATTGGGTAGATAGGAAAGAATACAATTCTATAATCTTTATTTTTCTTTTAATATCATTTTAATTTATCACTTTAAATATTTTAAGAGATTTTACGTCATTATTTATTTAAATATCAAATAGAATTTTATAAAGTATTTTATTGGTTGTCAGTTGTTTTATTGATAAAAAATTGACAGATAGACTAGAGTTTGAAACAGCTGTATGATCAATACTCTATTAAGTCAATAAATTAAATATGGGCTTTGTAATAATGTCTGGTTTCGCATAAATTTTTACATTCATCTGATTTTAAACCGACGCCATCTTTGATGTCTTTATTTGTTATCTATCAAGAGCAGAACGCATTCAACTTTGGTGGCACGAATGTATCTGACTGATACAGGTTGCCCCAGTTAATATCAACCCATTTGGATTAGACAATTATGTTGATATGCGCGAGGGTTGATAACGGGATAGTTTTTATATAGCCTAAGCCTATTTTTTCTTAATAAGTGGTTGATATTAACGGGAGGTTGATATTAACAGGGTTGATATTAACGGGGGTAACCTGTACTATTTTTTTGCATTCTTTGAAATTATTCATCTCATGATCACTTTATTGGATACAATGAAACATTATTTGTAGTCAAACTATGAAATTACGC